AAAAAAATAATATTTCTTCTTTTTTCTTCTTCTGCGTTCATGTAATTGCCTGGTGCCTTTTCACAGCATTGCTGTGATATTTGTGCTTTTCAGTCGACACTTCTGACTTCTGCAGGCATTTGCTGACTGTATTTTAAACACATCTGATGTATAAAGCAAACCCCAATCAAAAACTTCAAAAAATGAAGAACCATATTGTCTTATACACAGAAAAATATGGTACTGTGCTTAAATTCATTCTCAACATGGCTTAGCAGAAAGACTCAGGGTCCTCCACCAGCTGTGTCTGCGTGCCAGCGTATCTTATTATATGGAATGAAGGCTGACTACAGTGAGTGTACCCACTGCTATCTCTGTAAATATTTCATGGTCAGGTCTAGGTCTGATTCTCTTCCCTAGTGGGATTCTCATTCTATTGTGCAAAAAACCATGAGTATGTTAATTTGAAATAAAAACAACCATCCACTACGGAAATCGATGTTGTCGAGGATCAGGAAATTGATAAATGCATTCACTTGATTCTAAGCCATTGAGTAGCAGGTTGAGTAGATAAATAGTATGCAACTTTATTATACAACATACAGTGGTATCGCAAGTCATGTGCACCTCTAGTCATTAATAGAACAGCCTATGAACACAATATCTGAACAAATTTTGATTCGACCCACGATCAGTGCTATGGCACATGAACGAACAAACATGGATTTGGCACCATGTTTTTTGGTGCATGAATAGCATCAGTTGTACTAAAGAGGAAGTACTTGTTGAGCTTCAACGTGAACAGTTTTAATTTACTCAGGAGAGGCACTCAGGAGACGAGGGGTAAAGATAGCACATATTTCAGATGCCAAGATCAAAGAAATGTGTAGCAAGAGGAGAGAAGAGCAAGTTTTCATTAAGAAGCATAAGCCTAACAAAACTGTGACCAGAGGAGCAATGGACATTTAAATGACAATATGATGAGCCATTGTCAGTAAAGTATCCAACACAGAAAAAGACAAATGTCTCTTGTGAAAAAAACCTGCCACCACGCCAGCAATCGAACCATTTACCACGATACAAACAAGTGGGGGGAACTCACCACAAGTACCTACATAGTTGCCCATTGTTACTAGGAAATGGAACTCTTCTTCAAAGGAGTAATCTTCCTCCTCCTTCCTCTACCATCTATCTGTGCTATCAACTATCAGCCAAAAAGATAAAGTCGTTCTGTATATTTTATATTGTAAATACATTTTTACCGTAAATAAAAAAAAAAAGTTAAAACAAATTTGGGGGGAGAGGGGGATGAACAGATTAATTGGATTTGCATTCATTTCAATAGGAAAATTTGTTTTAGGTCGTGAACATTTCAGTTCGCGAACGGAGTCAAATAACAAATTGTTTATGACCCGAGGTACAAATACATTTATATATTTTAAAAATGTTGGCATCTATAAATAATTAAACCTTTAAACTGGGTTGCTGTAAATACATGGAAATATCATAAGCCATAAAAAAACAGAACAAAATAACAAACATAATGAAAAGAAGCATAACAATAGCAAGAAAGTTAGAAAAGTGAAATAAATATAATAATTAATGAAACCAAGAATAACAATAGCAAACAAGAAAAGACAACAGCGATAAAAAGTGGAACAAACAGAATATTTGTTAGTTTTACTGAAACAAAAACTAGAGAAATGCATTTTGGAATTCAGATGGCAATGGAGATCAATTTTTCCTCCAGCATTTAATTTAACAATTAACATGTTACAACATTTTTTTTTTATCAGCTCCATCATCATCAACTGCTCTGACTAGTGGCATGCTTTAAAATTTGCGAGCTGCAAAAGAATACATCAGTCCTTCTGCTGACACCTCTCTGTGCCAAGATAAAATGTTCAAAATTCAATAACTTTCCGTCCTTTTCAGGATGAAATTTTTCGTTATTTGAAGCCTTACTTTGGCTCTTGCCAGGGGCCGCTATATAGCCTGGCCATAAATATGGCCTTAAGGCTGAAAGCGGTTTCTGGGACCTCTCCACGGTGATCCTCACCCAAATGGTGGCACATTGCGTCATCGGGTGTTTATCGCTTGTGTGATGTCCTGGTGGGGTAGAAAGTCAGTCAGTCAGTCAGATAAAATGTTGTCAAGAATCTTTTCATGTTGTCTTCCACTCTCTTTCCACAAATCTTTCCAGTGTAACACATATATCAAATTCACAATTTAAAACATAATCAGACTGTGGGAACAGCACTATGCAGCAAATTCACTGAGAAATAGAAGATCAAATAGTTTGGACATCTAGTAAGAATTCAGCCAGAACAACTATCAGCACAGGCGCTACACATGAAAACATCTGAAGTGAAAGCAAGAGGCTGCCCTACGAGAACATGGACTGATGACATTAAAGAGCTTCTCCAGTGACGTGGAATGACAATAGCCATCGCTGCCCATCAAGCAATGGATGGCAAACTATTCCTCCCCACGACGCCCAACGACAGAAGTGGAAATTGATGATGATGATGATGGTGAAGACAGTTACAAATAATTCTGTGACCTGAGAATTTAGGAAGTTTCAGGACACAAATCTGTGATGATAAAGTTAACATAAAATAGTTAACACTCAACTGGCTCACAGACCAATAGTAGATGGTCTGAGTTTATTGTGTCCATTCCGGCTGGTATTTGAAGAACTGACCATTCAGGCGACTTCAAGAATAATATTCTGGAAGGTAATCTAACAGGACACATCCAAGATATACTGTTTTTCTTCTTCCTCTTCCTTTTCTTCTTCACTTCTTCAAATTATCTTTTTTGAGGATTGGAAGAGGGTGGGGGTGTAAGAGGGGAAAAGGGGAGGGGTGTGCTATGATCCTCTGTGCATTTTTTGCAATAGCTTGTAAAAGTTAATATTCACTTCTTTAAGTAAGTAAAGCAAAGAATCCTTTTCCATGCCTTCATGTGTACTGGGCAAAAACGGTTAGACTTGTTATGTGGTCAGCATCTCACTGGCTGCCTTTACTTTCCAGGATTTTATGTGGAGGTAGAGGCAGTCTCTGCTGCCTTCCGCTGGCTTGAGAATCAGCGGTACACACATGCTGTGATTGTAACTGACTCGTAGAGCATGTTGAGAAAGGTGGACACAGGCATACTTTGTGCAGAGGGACAAGTATCACTTTGGATATTTTCTCCAGGTGGTGCCAGTGTGTTGGGAAATGAGCAGACAGATAGACTGACTGGCTCTGCACCAATTGGTGGTAAACTGATGAATAACAGACTGGATGTTGAGAGGGCTCTTTGGGAGCGATAAACAGTGCCGAGGCACAGATAGATCATTACGGTCTGGGGAGAATGGCGCTGCGAGGAGTTACAAGGGGATCTGGCCGGCCCTCAACACTCAGGGAAAAGGCGGGACGGATATACAATCAGACAGTTACTGGTGCCATCGGAATTGGAACTCTTTGCTTGCAGCTGAAGATGGGGACGGAGCACTTATAGGAGTGTCCTGAGTGCTGTGGTGTCAATTCTTAATTCAACATTCAGGATTTTACCTGGCACCCGTCTGGGTTGAGGTATTTTGGCCATGGCAAGCGCCATGGTGGTCTGGAAAGATTGATGATGGAGGGTGCAGGTTCTGGAAAAGGAGGCAGAGGCTGACCTCCATGAAGGTGGGTAGAGGAGATTAAAGATGCATTAGCTATGAAAGCACAAAGGGCTGGAAATGGACTAGAGAAAGAGAGACTGGCGTGCCGAAATGAGAGCGGCATTCTGTGAAGGACTTGGTGATTGACTGATTAATGTCTACAACTGGAGACTGAATGAAGAATTAAGTACATGGCCTAGGACTGATTGATGTCTACAACTGGAGACTGAATGAAGAATTAAGTACATGGCCTAGGACTGATTGATGTATGTCTACAACTGGAGACTGAATGAAGAATTAAGTACATGGCCTAGGACTGATTGATGTCTACAACTGGAGACTGAATGAAGAATTAAGTACATGGCCTAGGACTGATTGATGTCTACAATTGGAGACTGAATGAAGAATTAAGTACATGACCTAGGACTGATTGATGTATGTCTACAACTGGAGACTGAATGAAGAATTAAGTACATGGCCTAGGACTGATGTATGTCTACAACTGGAGACTGAGAGAAGAATTAAGTACACTGCTAGGATTGCTAGATGTCTACAGCTGGAGATTGAATAAAGAATTAAGAACATGGCCTAGGAATGATTGATGTCTACAAGTGGAGACTGAATAAAGAATTAAGTACACTGTCTAGGACTGATTGATGTTTACAACTGGAGACTGAATGAAGAGTTAAGTACACTGTCTAGGAATGATTGACGTCTACACATGGAAAGTGAATAAAGAATTAAGTACACGGCCTAGGAATGATTGATGTTTACAAGTGGAGACTGAATAAAGAATTAAGTACACTGCCTAGGAATGATTGATGTCTACAAGTGGAGACTGAATAAAGAATTAAGTACACTGTCTAGGACTGATTGATGTTTACAACTGGAGACTGAATGAAGAAATAAGTACACTGTCTAGGACTGATTGATGTCTACAAGTGGAGACTGAATGAAGAATTAAGTACACTGTCTAGGACTGATTGATGTCTACAAGTGGAGACTGAATGAAGAATTAAGTACACTGTCTAGGACTGATTGATGTTTACAACTCGAGACTGAGTGAAGAATTAAGTACACGGCCTAGGAATGATTGACGTCTACACATGGAAAGTGAATGAAGAATTAAGTACACTGTCTAGGAATGATTGATGTCTACACATGGAAAGTGAGTGAAGAATTAAGTACACGGCCTAGGACTGATTGATGTCTACACATGGAAAGTGAATAAAGAATTAAGTACACGGCCTAGGACTGATTGATGTTTACAACTGGAGACTGAGTGAAGAATTAAGTACACGGCCTAGGACTGGTTGATATCTACTCCTGGAGACTGAATGAATAATTAAGTATACGGCCTAGTCACATGTAATCATTCAATAATTAAAGTTTTTGGCATGTTATCCTTAAGGTAACGACACACTGGTGAGTTAGCCCCTGGGCAGTTGGTCACCTCCAGCTCTTGGAGTCTTTGTAGATGTCGGAGGCCATACAGTCCATTACTGGTCAGTCTGCGGCAGCCTGATGAAAAATTCAACATTAGTATAAGTTACAGATGCTTTAAATGCTTGTGGAATTACATTATTTAACGTATGTTGAATTAAATCGTTCAATGTGTGTGTGATTATACTATTGAATACTTGCGGGATCCCATCACTCAATCAGGCGGCGTCTTCTGATTCATCTTTCCGCTTCCCCGCCCCCGCCCTTTTTAGGGTCGGTTTAATTTTGTGGTCACCGGCGGCAAACACTCAAGCAGAAAGTCCAAGTCCTGCACCGGGTTGTAAACTCTGGTCTTGATTCAGAACGAGTGAAGCGCGTATACCTCTTTTACAGATCTGACTTGTTTGTGTGCTGACTGTTAGTTCCACCCAATGTAAAAAGGTTACTAATTTAAGATTTTCGTTTCATATTCACTGCAGCTGATTCATGGCGATTCGGCCCAGTCGTTCTTACTTGGCATGTCTGACAACCCCTTCATCTCTTCAGAGTTTACTTTTCTGAGTCCCGGGTTTAAGCCCCGGTGAAGGCTGGGATATTTTCACCTGGACTTCTACTAATCTCCTCTTCCTCTGGTCTCTGGGTAGTAAGAACGGACGCCCGCGTATTTTGTTGCACACGTAAAAAAAATACCTTGGCAGCTGGAAATCGAAAAAGAGTAACTTAACGGCGCTGCCCGAGCAAAATTTCGAGTTTAAAGAATACATCCAAAGTATTTCAGGATCCTCGCCAGTACAACGGAGTTCGTGCACTGCGTTGAGATTCTTCATATTCAGGCTTCGGTTAGAAGTAGAACGGAGCACTTATGGGTTACATAATTGTGTCGTGATGTTAATCCGTTGAATCAATCAAATCTACAGAGTCTATTTGTAAACCAGGAATATCAGGGGACTCTGCCTGGAGTTCCTGCAAGCAATAAATGCTGGCAGCCAAAATACGTGGCATTTCTGCCTGTATTTATCAGATTTACTTCAATGAGATGGCCAACAATGAGATGTGTGAGATGACCAACAATGAGATGTGTGAGATGGCCAACAATGAGATGTGTGAGATGGCCAACAATGGGATGTGTGAGATGGATAACAATGAGATGTGTGAGATGGCCAACAATGAGATGTGTGAGTTGGTCAACAATGAGATGTATGAGATGGCCAACAATGAGATGTGTGAATGGCCAACAGTGAGATGGCCTGCAGGAGCATTCATAAGAGATTTTTAAAAATCAGGAATGATGTCATAAGAGACAAAAACTGGCACAGAACCAATTCTAAATTGTATACAAAGACAGTAATTCAAATGGTTTGTCCACTTACAAAGAATAATGCCTGGTGACACCATAACATAGAGAACAAACAGCAAAAGACAAGATGGACGAAGATCACGAGGTAGACCACAAAAGATAACATAAGAGAAACTCTACAATAGCACGATGTGCATACGGCTGGGGGAGCAAGAAGCAGAATCTTATCTCTGTCCCTAAACCCGAATTGGCAGAAGAGAAAGTGAAGAAGAGGAAGATTTACAATTTATATATTTTTATGGTAGTGTAGGGTGGGGGGGGGGGGGGGGGGGGGTAATGAGCATGAGGAACAACGTAGCTAGTGCAGTCATGGCGAAGGATAGAACGACTTGGCGTGAGTTGGTTGAGGGCCTATGCTCCATTGGGGGATAGAAAGGCAGAAGAAGAAGAAGAAGAAGAAGAAGAAGTTGAAGAAGAAGAAGAAGCTAGTGCAGTCGCCACAAAATGAGTTTCAGGATTTTTTCCTTTGTCCCTACCAAGGATTGAACCTTAGTCTTTCGCATAGCAGCTAACCATTGGCCAGCATAGACAGCCCACTGCACCAGTTATCAGAATGTCTCTTCACTGTAGCTTAACAATAGCGCAAGCGTGTCGCAATCTGGAAGCTCTTGCTCTTTGCCCCCCCCCCCCGGTCCCCCCCCCCTCCCCTCCCCAATATAAGACAGGGGAGTCTGCTTTAGAAAATGTGTGTATCCGCTAAGAGATACGCATACAAGTTCTATTTCAATATTTTTATTTCATGTTATTTCAAAAATAGTATATAATTTGTTTTATTTTTCCATTACTTGTATAGTTAGTTGTCGAAAGCTGAAACGCAAAAGCTACCTGTGAAATAGAAAAAAAAAATGGAATCTGGAATTCTGTACGTTAAAATTAATCATTGTAATTTAAATGTTGCTTCTTATTTTATATTATAACCTTGATAGAGATCAATGCACCTAAAAATATTATTATAAATAGTTTGAAAAAAAAATCTGCTTTAAAAAAAGGGGGCGGGGTGGGGGGAGTAAGGCAATCATCGCTTGAAATAGATCCTCTCCAAGTCAATCTATCTAACTGTATATCTCTCTAAGTATCTCTTCGCCTACTTGTCTCGCTATCTGTCTGCCTTAATGACTGTCTATTGATCTCTCGATGTTTCTGTCTTTTTATTTAATATAATTTACCTTTCACGCAAAAACAACCCAACAAACAACTCTGTTGATTCTTCATCTACAATCGTTCTAAATGAGACCTGGAAATGATCGTTCCGTGCCCACACGAAGATTGGCAATCTCTTTATGAAACTGGGTGAGCACAAGTGGAGAGAGAATGCCACCCACACCCCTGTTTCTAATCAAGCTGTAGCACGGAGATGATGAGAACTCAACTGATCTATTCCCGAGCGGACCTGGTTTGTGGATTGGACAATGTGCAACAAATTACTACACTTCTGTGCTGATAACATGGAGTTTTGCTGTTTGTGAGAATATTTTGTTGGAATTATTGAATGATTTCTTCTCTCTCTCCTCTCTCTCTCTCTCTCTCTCTCTCTCTCTCTCTCTCTCTCTCTCTCTCTCTCTCTCTCTCTCTGTGTGTGTGTGTCTCCCTCTCTGTCTTTCTCTCTCTTTCTCTCTCCCTCTTCTACAAATGTTCATACGTCTGTTACTGACAACATCGTGTCTTCAAACTGGAGAAAATACTTGTCGGGAATTATAATTTAATGTATGTTCTACAACTACCTCTCCTTCTCTCTCATTTTTCCAACACACAAATGATCACGTTTCCATTGTCGACAATATCGTTCTCCAGATGGAGACACTATTTTGTTGGAATTACTCTATGTGTATTCTGCTTCCGCAACTCCCCCCCCCCCCCCCCCTGTCCCTCTCCACTCTCCTTTTTTTCTATCCTATCTTCGTAGTACTTTATCCTTTTCTACTCTTGTTATTGTTGTTGATGTTATTTTCCGTGTTCTTTTCGTTGTGTTCTTCCGGACCCCGGGAAGTAATGTAAGCAGATGATGATGATTTTTTGTTTCGTTTTATTCTGTCACTTTGAATACCTTACAATAGTGTCAAAGTGTGTTTATGCTTTCTTGTGCCTGATTTTGTATGTTAAACAGTTAAAGTCAAGAGGGTCGACTTCCTTGCGCCGGGTTTTATCTCATTTGGCTTGGTCTCTCTCCGCAAAACAGCTAGCCGCCTGTTGAGAGCGTCTCACAAATCGCGAACCCTGAAGCTCCAGCGACAATTCCCATTAATCTCCGTTAGAAACTGCATTGTGCCCATGAACTGAACGACGCAGCCATGAAAAGAACCTACGACCTTCAGAGCGCGAGGCAGACGGTCTGACCACGTCGCCACGTAGACACCCTGATTTGGCGTGTAGGAGAGTAAGAGCCATGTAATCGCGACTTGCAGAACCTCAAAGACTTCTTTCATAGCTTCCTGAATTGCGATGAGCGCATTCTTTGCTGGGACTCAGTAAGTTCTAGAACAATACTTTAGTCCACAAGTGAACCTGCACGTAAGAAAGTAAATGCAAGTTACCCCACCAAAACATCACACAGAGACATAAACACCCGGTGACCCGAAGTGCCACCATGTGGATGAGGATCACCCAAAGAGAGGTCCCAGAACCCGGTTCAGCCGTTAGGCTATACTCAGAGCTCGGTTATATTTATGGCCCCCGGCAAAAGCCAATATGGGGCTTCAAAATGACTAAAAATTGCATCGCACACCGGGACGACAAGATGGTTAGTTAAAAACCTACACTCTCCGCAGGAGTTTACAGCCGGTTAACGTAACGAAGAAGAAGAAGGACACAAAGCAACCGAACAAACAACTGATCGCCCGACAGAAACACAGAAACACATAGGAGACGAAGGCAGGGGGACACACGGAAAACGACGATGGTGATGCCTGTGAGGGGGGGGGGGGGCACAAAGAAAACAATGATTATGCTTGTGAGAGAGGAGGGGGAGGGGGACTCAAAGAAAACGATGAGAGTGATTGTGAGAGAGACGAGGGAGGGGGACACACAGAAAACGACGATGGTGATGCCTGTGAGGGGGGTGGGGCACAAAGAAAACAATAATGATGCTTGTGAGAAAGGCGAGGAAGGGAAACACAAAGAAAACGATGATGATGATTGTGAGAAAGACGAGGAAGTGGGACACAAGGAAAACGAGGAGGGTGACTGTGAGAGAGATGAGGGAGGGGGACACACAGAAAACGATGATGATGATTGTGAGAAAGACGAGGAAGTGGGAAACAAGGAAAACGAGGAGGGTGACTGTGAGAAAGGCGAGGGAGGGGGACACAAAGAAAACGAGGAGAGTGACTGTGAGAGAGACGAGGGAGGGGGACACACAGAAAACGATGATGATGATTATAAGAGAGATGAGGGAGGGGGACACACAGAAAACGATGATGATGATTATAAGAGAGATGAGGGAGGGGGACACACAGAAAACGATGAGGGTGATTGTGAGAGAGACAAGAGAAGGGGGGGGGGGGGTAAACCATGTTTAACTGTGTATAAATTATATAATGTCCTAAATGGCAAAAAAAAATTTTAAATACGTTTAAAACATTATGAACAATTATTTTTAAAAAAATTAGAACTTTTATACATTGTTGGGGGGGGGGGGGTGCGCACTTGGCCCTTAAACAATTGGATGTGTGTGTGTGGGGTGGAAGTGTGAAAATGTGCCCAAGATGCCCAAGCGAGAGTGGCGGGGGAATGCATGCAACGGCTGCCATCGTCGCCTACACTTTCCACTGCAAAATATTACTATTGGCGATTACTGTTCACTATTATTACAGAATCGCCATTCTGTTTGTGTCTCAAAAGCTAGCTGCATACGTATCCACTCAAGCAGAATATGTAACCTGTAACAGCTACCAGTTACCAGTAAGTAATACTATGCTTGCTGTGTGCACATACTCCCAGCAGCGATGCGATGAAGAAGATACCCTCTATAGGTCGGTGTCTGTGGTTTAAGCCTTGCAAACGTGCTTCGTAATGCCCGGATGCAGGGTTCGATCCCAGCTTCGGATTGTGTGTCTTACGTTGGTTTCGACAGTGTTACTGAGAGCTAACCATTCAGTAGCTATGGCAAACTACTGAATGTAAAATTTGACTAGAAAAACCACAACAGTCAAAAAAATGCCTGTGGTTGGTTCTGCAACTTCCTGTAAAGGATACCCAACTAACTTCAACCCTCTCTAGGGTAATCGTTTGCTGCTAACGCCTACACATACGATAACCATACCCTCGCCATTGCTAAGTTGACTAGAGAGGCAAACATACCTGCTATAGAGAGAATTCGAAGATTGCGCATGGAAAAGATGTGATGAAGGCCAAAGTCGCCAACCTGGACGCACCAGCGGATGAACAGTCGACTCAGTGACGTCATTGTAGAGATGTATCCAATGCCGATGTCAGTAACGTGGGAACATCTGAAAATAGGAAACAAACTGGCAAGTCAGGGCTATATTTAACATTACAGTTTGAAATAAACTGGCCACTATTCGTTGTCGGTTGGGACAGTATTTGGGTCTGTCTCCTGTGATCGCCTTAACCTGCAGGAGTCCTTTTTATGGCTCTTGGCGCGCACATAATCTAGTCACAATTATAACTTTAAGTTCATTTTTTTAGGAATTGTGTTTAAACGTGATGATTTTTTTTCCAGCAAATCACTTACCTACCAACAAACTGGTTCATCATCTGGCTAGCCGGTAGACGACTTCGTCGCCGGTCGGGACAGTATTTGGTTCTGTCTTCTATTATTGCAATATTTTTCAGGGGTATTTGGTGGCGAGCAAGGCTAAGGCATTTGATAGGGCGCACTTAACCTAGTCACATTTATAACCTAAAAATTCCCCTTTGGGGATGCTGACTGAAGGTTGTGTTTTTTTTGTTAGCAAAGCAAAATCGCAGTCATCATCGAACTGGTTGTATCTTGTACCCAGATTTTTTTTTCAGTGTAGTTAAACAGCATATTGTTTGGTTTATTTCTTAGTGACAATGATTCGGGGTTTAATACCATTGCTGAGCGAGTAATTAACCGTTTCATCTCGACGACCTAGAAATAAAGATGGTGGTAAGTTGACCTACTTGGGGTGTCCTGTTTTCAGCTTAAGATATTTTGTCCACACTAGTATTTCGACATAGAGCAGTGTTTCCAAAACTTGTCTTAGTCGCGGCGCCTATTTTCAATGAGCACTTTTTCCACGGAGCCCTAACCAAAGTACGCTCGCCGCGGATCGGAAGGTCGTGGGTCCGCTACCTGGCGGATGCGGACTTTTTTCAAAAATGACCTTGGCTCCCAGGTCGACCCAGCCTCCCAGGTCGACCCAGCCTTGAGTGGGTGCCGGAAAGTGACGGCGGCCGGCGTGATACTGACTACATCACCCATCTTGTGCCGATTGGTCTATAAAAATATAGGTCTAGCCCTGTATGCCCTATACGCCTTAAGGCGTGAAAAAGGGGTCCTAACAAAAGTAAAAGTATGACTATTCGTATATAAGAGATTTAAAAAATTAAAAAAAACTCGTGTATCTTCGAATATTTCATTGCGTCCCTGTGAAAAGGTCGCGGGTCCCCAGGGGCGCCGCGGCGCACAGTTTGGGAATCACTGCCACAGATGATGTCTATAACTCTATAATTCCTCCATTCTCCGAGTGTGTGCTGGTCCTCTGAATCTCACAAGGCTGAGTACTGAGACATCCATATGGGGAGACTACTACATGATTCACCGTAAAACAATATTTCAGACAAGTATGAAAGATGCAACCATACTCCACAATCAGACACTGCAAAAGTTGTTATCAGAATGTCTCTTCACTTAACTTACCAAAAGCTTAACCGTGTTGTAATCTGGAAGCTCTTGCGCCTTGCCCACGCCTTTTCCCCCCAATATAAGACACGGGAGTCTGGTTCAGAAAATTTGTGTATGCACTAAAAGATACGTATAGAAGTTCTATTTGAATATTTTTTTCTTCATATTATTTCAAAAATAATATATTATTTTTTATTTCTCCATTACTTACATAGTTAGTTGTAACGGTGGAAAGGTCTTCTACTCTGATTCCCAGGTAGATAAGACCAGCAGATTCCTGCTGCAGCATATTTGGCAGCAGACTGCTTTGCATCGACAATGATTTCGGACGCTGAACGTTTAATTTCCATGACAACATAGGCAAGGGAACCTACGGGCTTAGATCCCTTGAACCCCTCCTCCCACCCCACTCCACCCGAAAACTGGTGTTCCCCTCAGCCCTCCCCTCCTCTCCCCAGTGTTTTTGTTGTGGCGGCACGTCTGAATGGCAAACTACTGAGCCAAAAATGGCCAACTAAAGCCACAAAGTGCCAACAGACAAAGCTTGGGCTGGTTCGGCGATGTAGCATACAGGATACCAGCTGACTTTATCATGCATGGATCCATTACATTAATGTCACCCCTCTCCCCCCGGGTCCTTGACAGGCGGACAGACAGACAGACAGACAGGCAGGCAGGCAGGCAGACAGACAGACAGACAGACAGACAGACAGACAGACAGACAGACAGACAGACAGACAGACAGACAGACAGACAGACAGACAGACAGACAGACAGACAGACAGACAGACAGACAGACAA